CTACTCTACCAAGTGCAAAATCAATATGTTGAAGAAGCTTCAAGGTTTCTAACACAAGCAAAAATATAAGATATTAATGTTTTCTCAGGATCAGTTTTTGCCAAAATAAGAAAAGAAATCCTGAAAGATTCCAGCTCTGCTTTGTTAAAAATGGGCAAATTCTCCAAGATTTGTTACATTTGAGTAACATGCTATTTCCTATCTTTAAATTGAAAAATATTACATAATATGCAACAACAGGTTTTTAAGAATGTTAAAGCGTTTGAAGAACGATAATCATTCACTCCGCTCTACTTTCAACCGGCACAGAGTTAACGAAGGAATTCCAGAAGACACCAGTAGAACCAATATCCTCCAAAATCAGACACCTGCAGAAAGTTTCCTCAATAGCTTTCCTCTCTCTCCTAGAGTTAGTCTTCTGGCAGTTTAAGTCCCTGCACTAGTTCACGGCAGGATCAGACAAGCACAAATAAATGATGAGAGAAAGGCAGAGAATTTGCTGCAAAACATGAGGTCTAGGAAGCAGATCCAGCCCTCATTTCTGCCAGCAGTTATCCACTAGATTGGCATACTGTACTCGGAAGCCACATCCTAAACCTCAATTTCCTGCTACGTTAAACTTGTTTTTCTAGAACCAGTTTTGTGTTTCAATTTCCATCATAGAATTGTGGATTCTCCATTGCTATTCTTAATGCACATAACACTTGAAGAAATGTAGGTACTCTTTGCTGATTTTACATATTCTTAAAAAAAAAATCCTTCATTAAAAACATTTATGTCGATGGGTAAAAATTTCAGCTTCCACTTGAAAACATTTATGATTGTTGTTTTTAGTCCCCTTCTCACCTAATCCTTGAAGAGATGTGGTGAGGCATGTGAAATGCATTATATTTGAGTATGTGAAATGCATTATTTCCAAGGTTCAGTATACAAGAATGAATGTTTGGCTCACAGTAGGGAGTTCTTCTATCTTGATTTTAAATTAAAATACCCCAGCATCTGTTGATTTTTCAGATCAGCTATAATAGCAGCATAGCATAAACACAAAATATTTCACATGATAAAAATTAACGCTGTACAAGGAGACACTCTACTAATTCAGAAGCCTAAAAATGTATCACATAAGAAATCCACATGAAAGTATTCTTCTTTCCTCCTCCCTTTCACCATGTCTGCAACATTGACAGTAACATAAGCTGTATGATTTTCATGTCTCATTATTAACATGCTGCCATTTTATAGTTGTAAATTCACATGCTGTTGAAAAACCTCAGGTTTCTACTGCTCTTCTAACAACAAACCAGTAGCTCCAGATGTCACACATTTTCTAAATTATGCTGTATTAGTATATATGTGGTGTGGCACAATCAAACAGTAATTCTTCAAACACCCTCATATGAGGATATTTCCAGAATGCAGAATTAAAAAATAAATTCCTTTTAAGGCCCAATACACAGTCACATAGTCAATCATTGAACAGTAAGTGATATAAAAGATCCCAAGAAGAGACAGCAAACCGCCTAATACACAAACAAAACGTCTATCAATGGGGCTCACATACCAAGGAACTAAGATGCAGGACCTATGTACTGTGTAGCACTGATTCAAAAGAGAATTCAGGAGTCAGAACAGATAAAACAAACATATACATTACAGCAATGCTATGGCAAAAGTAAACTCTGAGTTTTAAATAGCATTTCTGAGAACAGCACTAAAAATCACAGAATCATAGAACGCTTAGGGTTGGAAGGGGCCTCTAGAGATCATCTAGTCCAAACCCAAAAATAATTTATTTTTTTCAATGATGGAAGACAGGAAAGATGCAGAGTGTACTGACTACAGCACACCAAAAGCCTTCCCTCTCCTTGACCTTTCAAGGATGTGGGAAATCTAAGGGCTGGGCAGTGAGGGAGAAGCCTGGTGGGTTTTTTTCCCCTTTCAAATCTCATAGATGCCTGCAGATCTCACTACATTTAGTATTTAATGATGTGGGGAAATGGGAAGGAGGACAGTCAGGACAGGCTCTCCCTGGCCGTACATCCAGCCCATGCAAACAAGGCACCATCCACTCCCTCGAGTTGTCACCTCTGCCTGTACAAGGTGGTGTAAACTCATCAGGAGCAGGGAATCCTCCAAGATTCCCAAGATCCTGGTCCTGGCAAGATGAAGCTGAGGTCCTACAGGCACCAGACAACATGCTGCCCCACAACAGAGCAAGTTACTGCCAAACATCTGATTTGTAGTATTTTGCCCCCAAGGTGTAACCTCCTGCTGTGAGTAATTCTGTAATTTTAGAGGCTAGTAACTGTTATAGGGCTGTTGTCAATACACACAATCCATTTCTACTCACCTGCTGCAGATCTACAATACTTTATCTGGAAAGTGAAAATAAACTCAATACCCTCCTCTGCACAAACGTGTTTCAATTCGCATCTCCCACCAGCCACGAGAACGCAGCGACTCCGGGCCCTCTGGAACGGCGCCGCACTCACCAGGCAGCGCCTCCACCCCCAGGGCAGCCCCCGATCCGGCCCTGGCCTTACCACAACTTTAATGTTTTACATAAAGTACGGGGAGAATGGGAGGGAAAAAAAAAAAAAAGAAGAAGAATTTTCGATATTTTGAAACAAACTTCCCTTGGACCCTTTTTTTTATCCTTCTTTCTTTTTTTCTATCTAAAATACCTGGAGTCCACCAGTAGTGTTACTTATCTGAAAAGCGAGAGAATGCGACTGTACCTTGTACTGAAATTGGGCAGGAAGTGGACCGAAATTTGAATTTCTTCCTTTTCTCCACATTTTCCAAATCCTTGGCTTTATCACTCACTGCAGATCTAGGCCTTTCATCATGCTCTCTCTGTATCTGAAACAGGCTGTGTGCGCTCATGGTCTGTCTTTTTACACAAAAATATACCCGCAGTAATGGCTCTGCAACCTTGCACACAAGCTGCTTCCACCATAGTCTGGCAGATACAAGGTTGACTTTGCCACATATTTTTGAGAAAGAGGTGAAAATAGTTCATTATTAATGTCAAGAGACATTTTTTTCCACATTATAAACAGCATTTTCTAGTGACTAATGAAGGACACTACAATAAGGCAAGAAAATAAACAATTACTATTGGTAAATGCATCAGTCTGCTTGCTGTCTCACTGCAAATGATTAAACTACTTTTCATTATACTTCCTCCTTTAGGGTTTCACATAATATAGGTAAGACGTTTTTTCCTTCTAATTAATTCTTAGTTACTCAAGAGAAACTAAGCATTTTCAAAAGTCAATAAATTGTAATACTCATCAGAAACCTTAGACAAGTCATTATAAATATTGCAAATCCTGTTGCTTTCATTTTTTCCCTCCAGTCTAATGAAATGTAAAGCAAAAAATATTCTTTCCCTCCAGTCTAATGAAATGTAAAGAAAAAAATATTGCTATTTAATACTTTGTGCATTATACAATTCGATTTTTCTAAACAGTATTAATAAGATCAAATAATATAGACAAATCTTAAGTCCAGTTCATACTTATAGCAACATCCCTAACAGAGTAGGTTAAATATGTATTTCTTCAAAGGCATTAATGAGCTGAGGTCACACATGTGCATTGCATGTTCCTCCCCCTTTAGCACATTTACCCACTCCCAGGCCTTTGCAGGGAGGCTTCTCCAGTGACCTTTAAGAGCTGCTTCTCGTTAACTGAAACGATCTATTTCCTTCTCCGTGCACCGCAATAAAGGATCTCCTCCAGCAGCAGTTCAAGGTTCTGTTATCAATTGTTTTCCCAAGTGGTGGGGAAAAGGAAAAAGCTTCCCCCTCACTCCCTGAGTAAGGAAGAGCCTCGAGAAGGAGCTTCTTTCACAAAGAAAATATATATGTGTGTGTATATATATATATATATACACATACTTGCCAGGAGTAATCCTCTTCACTAGTCTGCTCTACTGGTGACCTTTAGAGAGAGCGACCAAAGCTAACGAGAAGCTTAATTAGCAGAAAGGGCAGCCGAAAGAACAGGTAGCACGAGGAAAAGGCTTTTAGTCCTTATTGCATGGGGCAAGAATTTCTGAAACAGCAATGAAACCCTAAAGGTTGCTTCAGAAATGCTGCCTACTGGAAACCATCTAAAGGCAGAATTAGCTAGGGCACAAAGACATACTATTCTGAAACCAGGGTTGTACATAACAGGAATAATACTGTATTTAAAGCTAAAAAAATAGAGAAGAATCTTGTATGCTTCATGTAAGTCTTTTGCGTAAAACTATTGCTATTCTTCAACACTCACCAAGTTTGATCCTACAAGCTGCTTATTTTAGTAACTTTAAAAGAAAAAAAATCTCCCACCTTGCTTTTTAAAGCATAGGTAGCAAAGTAATTCAAACACACTGAATTACTGCTGCAGTAATCCAGTGGTGCAGACTGCAGTTCGCCACAGTGCGCCGCTCCACAGCATGCCATACCTCTATGCACCCTCTTCAGAGAAACAAGAACTAGGAATGTTGTTTTGTTTTTAAATTCACCAAAAAGTCGGCTCAAGTATTTTACAGACACACTAGGGTAAAAAAAATAATACCATGGATATTTTCAAATGTATTTCTCTGCATTCACTCAAAAATACCTTTGTTATTCCTATATCAAATTCAAACCTGATTTACTGCAGATACTTTTAAAAACTTCGTCCCAAAACTGAAAACCTTCTCCTCATTCATCTCCAACTTCTATGGAAAAAAGAAAATCCTAGGAAAGATATTCTTCCAAACAGCCTCTAGGTTTAGCATGTAACATAAGATAAAGGAGCTCAGAATCTCTGCCTGAGGTCCTCAAAGCCCTAATGCCATAGTTAAAAGAAAACCATACTTTAAACTGACATTTCATTTTGCCATTGGCCTAGGGTATAATTCTAAAACATAAGAGCTGTTCTGCAGTAATGTCCCAATCCTTCACTGAACTCTATAGTGAAGCAACTCCAAGAGTCATTTTAACCCTGAGGACAGTAGAGGCACACCCGGATTTCCAGTGACAGGAGGGGTGGCCTCCACTCGTTGGGTCCTGCTGCAGTTCCAGGAGTTGGCGTGCACAGCCCCGTGCGCCCGGCGGCCAGGGAAGCCCGGACTCCACAGGGCGCCAGGAAGAGCGCGGTGGCCCAGGAGGGCTGCGGCCCAGGGCAGCGCTCGGCTCTCTGCGAGTAACGATCCTGCCGACCTCAGGGTTAAGAACAGAGTCTGGACTGAGGTTATCCCCTGGGAATAGAGAGGCAGGAATAGAAACAGGACCTGGAGGCCCCTTCTCACACACTCCAGCGGATTTGCCCATTTTGCCAGCACGGTTGGTTTACTAAGTCTACCTGCAAAAGAATTAAAGCCTTGCTTTTAGAGAAGTCGTAATCAAAAAACAAATTCACACACAAATATAGAGGAATGGCATAAAAGACAGCTACAGAAGGCCACAAAACACAACTGGATTTGCAGGAAACCTGTATCGAGGCTCCCAAAACCACACAGTTAATTTTGGAAGAAAACAGAAAGCAGTACTGTCATGTCTTTCCAAGTTCCCACTGTGAAAAATAAGACTATTACTTACATGAGTTAGAATACTATTGACCAAATTTCAAAATCAAATTTCACTCCTCCTACAGATTAATTTATTCTTTCAGCATGATATAGCTGCTCTATTCCACTTGAAGTACCCATATAAAATCCTGTTATGATGGTATTTGCTTACAGCAAGTAACATAAGTTTTCATCAAAACATCTTGTTGAAGTGCTCCCTTATTTCAGTTTCGTCTGTATTGCATATGTCAGCAGCAAATTCTAAAAACTCATATATCTGTATGATTTTGATATGCCTCAACGTATATTCAAAAAAACCAACCCGAGCACCCTGAGGTGAGAAATACATTCCCTTGCGGTGATTTTACATTGTGAAACACCTGCCTTTACTCTTCCTCATTTAATTGTCAGCTGCCTCCCCTGCCTGCGACACGATGGCTGTCACATACCAAGTGCTGGGCCTCATCACAACTAAAGGTTAAGCTGCCAACCCCACCTACCGTTTGCTGCTAGCATCGACTCGGTGTTTCATTGGCAAAATATTTTAAAATGGACAATGTGGATTCTTCTATCTCTGTTTTTTGTTCTTTTCCAAATCCTGTAATTAGAATTCTAAGTTCTTGTGAGAGCTTCTTCAACATTCAAGACACTAAAATTTTACATTTCATCTGAATTTCATCTATGATATTGCACATGATAATCCAATCTAAGTGCAGTAATATAATTTTGAACTATTTCACATTACTAATAAAATACGGAGTTTATAAATGGCTTTATACTATTTATACCAAGCATTTGAATGGGTGAGGCAGAAGTGGAATGCACAGCCATCACATACATACATAAATAAGCTACATAAATAAGAAGCTTTTCCAATGGAGTTGCAAGAACTGAGCGTGTCAGACACGAAGCTGGCAGGAAGCAACGAGGCCGTTTGTTAACCCACGTAATGCAGCAGCATAACACAAGCAAATGCAGATTTGCAGAAGCCCCCCCTTCTAGTTTGACTTGGAACTTTAAAGATGTTTCCAACCACTTCTGCAAGGGATTGACTTAATCTAATGCCAGGCCCTTCAATCAGAGCCCACACTTCATTCGCAATCAATTGGTTCCACTCCAAACCTCATCACAGTAGAGAAACTCCTGCAAGGAAGTTCTTCACACCTTGTTAGTGACTGTGCACAGCTTACAAACTGATACACACTAGGTAAAATAACTCTCCCCCGACTTTGAAAAACACTAGGATAAAATGTCAAAAGATTTGCTGTGTTCAAGACACAGGTACCTGTTTCTTGTATAAAAACAAGATCTGTTAGGGTGTTCTAAAAGGAAATTAGATTCATTTGTGTTTGACAAATCCAAAATTTTGTTACCATGTAGCTGACTATGAACAGATTTCTTTTCTCAGTATTTTTTCCAGGAATGAATGTTAGGCTATCATTCTTCAAATTTAATACATCTGCCTCTTTCACCTGTTTTTCTAGACACCTTTCTGATCCAAAATCCCATCTATTATTCATAAAGTTTGAAGATACTTGTTAATTGTGCAGAGATAATTTTAAACCTTCCCTATGCCCTAGGTACTGGGAAACTCACGTCAGTCGCCTGGTGACGCATTTGAGAAAATTAACGCGCTTATGGTTAGAGAATATGGACCATACCATGATGTTTAACACTATTATTTATTAATTTTAAAGCAAATAGTAAAAATGCAATCCTTCAAAGCTATCAGAAATGCTAATTCAAGACTTCAACAAGGAGTTTCCAGCTTGTCACCAAGTTCACGTTGCTTGTATTTTCCCTTAACACTGCTGCTCACAGGAAGAGATTTGACTTCTTCCCTGTCTGTTCCTTAAGGGGACATTAAAAAGCTTTTTAATCACTATTTTCATCACTGGTCAGACTCAAAGTCAAAAACCAGTCCAACCCTGTAGATAGGCCCAAACTTAATTCTCCCGGGGCTAAGTCGACGGTCAAGTCTCAGAACAGGCAAATGGCAAAAACTCTGTCCTTAGAGCGGGAAACACACCGAACTTCACGGTCCAGAGAAACCATGGGAATGAACAGAAACACAATCGACTCTTCAGAGAAAACTGGTAACTAAGCACGCTGAAATATTACAAGAGGGATTTATTTTACATTTTGTAAACTGATCTTCATATTAAAAGATCCTTTTTAGTGTTTCTGATATAGCCACAGCGGTACTCATGCATTTTTACTCAGAGTAGTTATTACAGTAAGCAGCCATTTTGGTTTTCACACACAATAAATCTGAAGTTCAGGGAAAACATATATATATATATATATGTCTTTACACATCTTTAAGTTAAATTTTACATCCCTAAGCAATATATTATGATTTATAAAAATATACAGATTAGGCAAAATTTGGCTGAGGCTGGTAACACTAGATGTTCTTCTCTGTCAGTGCTACGCACACACAAAAGTCACCAGAATGAAGTGGAAATTAACATGCAATAAACACGGTGTCCTCAAGAAATTCAGCGTAAGCGAGAAAGAGCGCTCTAGTTCAACTCCCATTCTTTAACAACAAAAAACAAGCTTACTGCAACCAATGGGCTGAGCCAGAAAAGCTTGCCAAAATACACAAGCCACTTCCAACGGCACTGAAGCAACAGCATGAACCACACACACAGTTTTTATTCAGAAGCAAAAATCAAGTTACAAGAATAATTTGTAAGCTGCAAATGAAATGAACGTAGAATTAAAAGTCAAAAGAAAACTTCCTCAAATGACCCAGAAGGGGGATGAAATCAGGAATTATCAAAATAAAAGCTATCATCATATTCAGAATTAAAAAAAAAAGTTCTGATAAACTATATTTTAAATTGAGTATTATTAAAATTAATTACTGCATTAAGATATACTACACAAGTTAGAAGAGTTGAGATAAAAGTGGGAGATAATGCACTAATTTCAAAGAAAACTTATTTCAAGCATTGTAATTTCATGTTTTTTAAACTAAAACTGAGTGACTGCAAACGTGTTCTATTTATTTAACATGAGTTAAAAAAGGCAGAAGCAACACAGAAATATTCAAGACAACGGATCTACAAAGAAACCTGCCATTTGGTAAACCAGCTGGTTGCAAGTAGGCTTCAGATTAGCACCGCTTCAAATGGAGGATACAAGAAGGCAGTCAAGTCAGCACCCACGCTAGGTAGGTAGCATGAATGAGAGCAAGATCCTGTTGCTGTTCACAAGGAGGAGGAGTACTTTTCCTCACAGTTCACAAACCATTTCCATGTTTGAGAGAGGCAGAACATTGTTTAAAGAGCAGAGGTTAAGTTACAAACCACGTCCAGAGCGTTATCTCCTCAATCACGAGGAAGGCAAGAAATCATGAAGGCTTTTAAGATTTGCATCCACAATTGGATATACCAGCTTGGTGCAAGAACAAATACATCCCCTCATCTCCTTTTATGCTGTCATTTAGCAGAGGAGGGGAAAACTGACTTTAGATCCAGCAAGTATTTGGTCTTGAAAGCAGCCCCGCGGAACACTCCCTACTAAAACAGAAGGCAGAGTAAACCCAGCAGCAGACAAACATCCAAAGCGGTGTCCAGCCTCCACCAGCCTCCGCAGAACGGGGAAGCTGCGTGACCGCCCCCGCCACCCCGCTGCCCACGCCAGAAGTGACGACCGCCCGCGGCTTCCCCAGCGCGGAGCTCCCCACGTCCACGTTGGAAGGAGCCACTTCCCATGGCCTCAACCGCAGGCTTAGAAACCGCGAAATTCAAACACCTGAAACACAAGCCCTGAGAAAGGCTGTCTGATTAAATTCATCCACGTGACTAAAGAATATTAATGCTAAAATATTAAGCATTTTAATGCCAATTTCTAGTTCACTGTGCTACTTCCGTAAGGTTGCGATGAAGTGGAGTTTTATTAACACTCTCACTACATTTTACTGAATTCATCCTCCTATAATTCTGTTTGCATTTTACTGGTCTGTACATAGTAGACTGAACAAATCTAGTTACTGGAATATAATTTGATGCAGTTTTTTTCATAAAGTTTTTCTGCAACTGGAGGCAGAATAAAGAGAAACTAAAGCAACAACTGAAGCTCCAGCAGTCAAAAATATTTAAATGTCAGGTTTAGCAGCAATAGTTTTATAAACAATCTAAATGCAAATTAAATTACAAACTTAACACAGTTTTAGAATGACAGAAGAACCTAGGCTTAAAATTATTCTCAGGAAATATTATTAAGTCATCTAAATCCCAATCATGCAATGTTAGAATGATGCCAATTTAACAGAAAAATTCCTCCAAACGACCAACTGAGACAGCAATGTGGGAATGGAAAATGTAATCCTCCACAAGCTTTTCCCTGGAAAGCACACGGGCCAGATTCCCCTCAGGAAATTCTGTACGTGCTCCAGGGTTAGAGCATCCTGCACCTCCATCCTCCAGGGAGTTTCGAGGCCTGTTTTTAAAGAGCGAGGAGATTTTCACAGGAAAGGATTCACTGTCCAGGACACAGCTAGGAAAATGACAGAAGAAAACTGGTCACATGCCCAGCGCTGCTGCTGCGGATGTAATTTGCACATTGCCAAATGAGACCATCTAAGCTCAGGTCGCTGAAGGACAAGAGGGTTCCCTGTCACACACGCTTGGGCCCGACGACCTCCTGCCACGCTGCTGTGCTCGCCTGGGATGAGACAGCTCGTGAAGAGGAAAGAGCCGTGTTTTCCGCCAGGTCAGAGAGCTGCATCGGCTCAGCCAGTGTGGCCCAGCAAAGAGCACCACTAATACATGGGAGGCACCGCGACCAAGTGCCTGGGAGGAAGAGGGGGAAGGAGCTGGAGCTGCCCACTTCGAAGCCGCCCGGCGCCAGCCCCGGGGCTGGTGGGTGGCCGGGACACGCGCGCCCGGCCGGGCGAGCGCTCCTCAGCTAGACGCAGGCGTGCGCACAGGGCACCGCGGGCTGGACACCAGGGCCCTCCCGCGCGGAAGAAGCACTAGCTTTAACCGTGCCTTGGGAGAGTTCTGGAGGAAGAAGAAAGCTTAGCTACTGCTCCACTTCTTCCCTTTTAAAGATCCAGCCTGTATCAGTCATAGCAAAAGAAAAATAAATAATAAAGTAATTGTATTAGTCTAAAATACAAAGAGCATATCAAATGCAGTAAAGTAACAATTAGGGAAAGCATATTGCAAGCTATCCCCAAATAAAATCTTTTCACAGCTTCCTGAAATGCCTCAAACTGTAATCTAGATAAAAATGCATACACACCACACAATTCTCTTACTGACTATACCTTTTAAACCATGAAGTGCAACAGCAGCGCCGTGGTGAATAAAGATGTAGATGTGCTTCAGGTTATTAAGTTCTTGAATGACTCACAGAAAATAATTCTGGGCTGGAAGTCTCCTCAGCTAATAGAGCTACTGCATTTTCCACCCATGCCCTGTGACTTGTGAGGCAGAACAACTGTTTCACATCCCCACACCATTAGGCACACGGCAGTTTATATTGCACACACCTGAAAA